CTTAAGTAACTTAATCACCTTAATGAGTAGAATACATCTCTGAGGTTATATGATGTCTCTTCATCCCTCATCATGATTTCACTGCAAGATGGAAGGTCTTATTTTGACAGCTGATGTTTGAAATGGTTTTTGATTAACGTGGTCAAAGGTGAGGTTGGCAAAGCTGTCGTGTCCACCTCAGCTTGACTAGAAACCATAAAACTTATGCCATTCCAATGGTAGAATGGTAGCTCAGTGCCACCACCTACGTTTAATTAACACACGTTAGTTGGTGTTTTGTTTGTTTGTTTTTCCAATGGTTTTTCGGTCCTGGGTTTTTTTTTTAACTAGTACCTCACAAGATGCTATTATGCAATTTGCCTGTATAGTATCAAAAAATGACTTGTCTACTTGTTTACAGAGTTTTTTGTGAGTTTTCCTGATGGTGCTCTTTGCTTATAGTTTTGTTAGGGATGAGGGGCTGGTGAGGGAGATTTCCCTGTCCTTGGTAAAGGGGAAGGAAACTTGGGCCAAGTGAGTTGAAAATCCCTGCCCTAAAGGGAAACTCTTAAGGGATTCTAGTTCTTTATTGTCCTCCCCCTGCTCAACCCAAATAGAAGTAAAGGGTGAACCTAGACTCTGTCCCATGGGGCTGATAGCCCACTGCAGTGTAGTGTGCAGTAATTAGTTCTCTGATTTTTGTATCCTTTTTCTCCTCTAGAATCTTGTCTAAAGACCTTTCATAGGTGTCTCCTAGGATGGGTTTAGTGGCAGATATTATCACCATTTTATAAAATCAGGCAAGGGTGCTGCTAATTATTAAAGAGCTAGAATGAAAATGTAAGTCTTATAGTTCCACCAGTGGAAAATTGGGTTCTCCAGTGCTTCCTAGTACCTTTGGCTCAGTGGTAAACTTTACCCTGCCTGTAAAGCAGTGCAATAGAATATTTGAATTTTTAGCCCCCAGTGAGAGAAACTGATAATCCAGCTAGCATAGCAGGTGAATGACTAACTAGTTCTTAAGGAGGACAGTCTTAATACTACAACCAGTTCCACATTGACTTGAAATGTAAGGACCAAACATCATTGTCTTTCAATTATAGGCATGCTTATTTATAACTCTGTGCCTTTTCCTTCTTTCAACAGAATCCTCCTGTCATTCGTGTCCATATTTTCTCTATATTCTGTTCATCTCCTTTTGAAGACTGCCAACGAAGGAGGTATGGTTACATTCTTGCGTCGTTCTCCCCAAACAATTAGGCATACTTACTATAAAATACTTCTACCTCTCATAAAACGCTTCATGTTTCTATGTTCTTCACATTATAGGCTCTTTATTATATGAACAGTTGGGACATAAGGCATTTGGAATGGTTGGAAAGCTTGCAGCCTCTGGATCAATTACAATGCAGAACATTGGAGGTAAGAATTTTATTAAGAGCCATTTGGGTAGACTTTGCTCATGTGCCACATTTTGCACTTGTAATGGTATAATTTTGTTTTCCTCCAGCTATGTCAAGCTACCTCTTCATAGTGAAATATGAGTTACCTTTGGTGATCCAGGCATTAATGAACATTGAAGATAAAACTGGGTAGGTGTGCTAAGTAAGGTTACTCATAAATAACTATAGTCTAAAATTACTAAATTTATTTTCCAAACTTGGATACCAAATGATTATCAGTAAGTTATTATTTATAAATAATCCCTTTTGATACATATCAAGAACCCCCTGTAAGCTGATTTGAACTCTTAAGAATAAAAGGCCAAAGTTAGTAACTATAGCTGCCCCTGTAATTCTGCATAAGCAATTTCTGACCTGTAGAAACAGGTGAGCCCCCTCTTTATGGTCATACTCTAAGAAGTTAAAGTTTAAAATATCGAGAGGTAAATCTGATTTAAAAGACAGATTATTCAGAAAGCGGTGGTCATGCTATTGAAAATATTATCTTTCTAGCAAAATCATTCATCCTTAGTGGACCAACAGGTTTTATCTAAAGTAAACATGGGGAAAGGATAATTTGTTTCTCAACTTACGTGCAGCTCATTACCTCAAATAGAGAAATGTGGTTATCTCTGGTGTGGCTTTACACATTTAATTTGATAAGCTGGTCTTTAAATATTCGTTTTCTCTGCTGTATGTGTTGCTGGGGTGAGTGAAGTGGAAATCATAGGAGCAGTTAGAAGTTGAGACTAGTGGTGAAGTTAATGATTGCCTAAGAAGGAAGTCAGTGGTAGAACTCTTAGAGGCACACTATATACTATTTTCTTAAGTTCACAAGGAATTCTTTCAGCCATTTTTAAATACAAGGTCGGTGTGTCAAGGTGTCACAATATACTCTGATAATTAATAGACCAGTACTGGTTTCAGGAATTGACTTTGGTTTTGCCTATGGACTTTTTCTAAGCTTGCAAATACTTCCTTGTTTCTGGCTCTTGAAACTAAGCTAAAACTGTGACCAAGTTGGTGTACAATCTTTTTAAAATGCTTCAAGATAAGGTTACTGATGGAACAATGCTGTTTTGTTCTCTGCATTAGCTTCAAGCATTTAAAGAGCATTTTGTGTTAGGAATCAGCTGGCATACTTCCCAGAACAAAGAATGAGACAAAAGTTATACTGTTTCAGGCCCTCTTTCTCACTTGAGGGAATAATGCATCTAGCTCACAATGTTAAAAGTTTATCCCTACCTATAAGTAGTGTTTCTTCCCAAACCTGAATTTACAGCATTTCCATAAAGTATCTAGTTAGAAATGGTAGCCCTTCTGTAATACTGTTTTTAAGGGAGGTGTTTGTTGTCTTGTCTTTCTTCAGAGTGTGGTATCTGAATGGGGACTACTTGGTTCTCCTGGTGTCCGTGGTGCTCATTCTACCTTTGTCGCTGCTGAGAAACTTAGGTGAGCAAACCCATCTCTAAAGAGATTTGAAATAAGACTCTTGAATTTTTCCCTTAATAGAAATTAATGAAAGCTTACTAAACATACCTTTGAGAGTTGTGACAGGAAATGCCTGTTGGTGATTTTTAACAAGTATTATTTAAGCAATTCCATATTTATAACTAATTCTATATATTCAGGTCTAACTATATATATGTTATTAGATGTGCTTAATTCTTAATGTGGAGGAATGAATTAGAGATTTAATTTTATTTTCACACTTCAGTACTTAAAGTGTTGTAAGCAGGATGGACTTAATCGTTTGAGAAAATGCTTTTGCCCTACATGGATTGTATTAAACTAATATCCATTTCCTCCCATTTCTCTCCCCTCCCCCCCTTCACCTTTACAGGATATTTGGGATATACTAGTGGCCTTTCTTTGTTGTGTATGATGTTCTTTCTGATTGTGGTAGGTACTTTTTTTTTAAAGCTAGAGATTTTTTAAGATAATATTTTTATAAGCTCTGTCATGTTAGCTGGCTTAACAAAATGCAAAATGCTCTTATTTTCAGGTGATTTGCAAGAAATTTCAGATTCCTTGCCCTATGGAAATTGCTTTGTTAATGAATGAAACAGTAAACAGCACACTACCACCACCGACAACTTGGGTCCCTGAAGTGACAGTTAACGTGACTGAAGATGATTCTTGCAGGCCACATTATTTTATGTTCAACTCACAGGTAACTGCCTCCTTAGTGCTTAATAATGAAGTTGAGGCTGTAGAACTGGCACGTCCGTCAATTGCCTGGTGGTGCTAAGTGAATTGTGGCCTTCTTTTCAGACTGTGTATGCTGTGCCGATTCTGACCTTCTCCTTTGTCTGCCACCCTGCCATTCTTCCCATTTACGAAGAGCTGAAAGAGTGAGTAGTCGGATTTCTTACAAAAACTCGTGGGGAAAACATTTTAAGACTTGGTGGTAATTAATCATCACTTGAAATGATGTGCATTTTCCTTTGCATTTTCGTAGCCGGAGCCGTAGAAAAATGATGAATGTGTCCAAGATTTCGTTTTTTGCTATGTTTCTCATGTACTTGCTCGCTGCCCTCTTTGGATACCTGACGTTTTATGGTAAATACTGTCTTGTTCACCCCTTGACATGGTCGTTTCATACTTTGCAAAAATACAGTCTCTTGTTGATGAAGAGTTGAATTTTAAGGATAGTTTGTCCTCTAGTATATTTCTCCAGTTACTTCTGTGAATCCAGGTTCAAAGGTAGATTGCCAGTCATTGTTGTGTGGTGGTCTTACCTTTAAGCTCTCTCATCCTGTCTATCTCTACCACCTTCCGATTCTACAGCACACGAAAAGCCAGAGCAAGAGATTTCACTACTTAGTGCTTCTTGTTTTGACCGAGTTTCATGTGCTGAAATCTCTTCCTCCGTGTTTAGAAAAAATTTCCTTCGATGTTATTTTAATTGCATGGGCTATAATTCCACATTAATCTCATTAGCCTCTTAGTTTGGAGACCTTTTTTGAGGAGCTTAATAACTTTGAAGAAAATCTTGCTGTAAAGTTAGATTTACTACTTAATCTCTGGAGGATTGGCACACTTGACACTTTTTTTGGGCTTTCCCCATAGGACACGTTGAGGCTGAATTGCTTCACACCTACTCTACTGTCATGGCTACAGATATTATTCTTCTCATTGTCCGTCTGGCTGTGCTGATGGCTGTCACCCTGACGGTTCCAGTGGTGATTTTCCCGGTAAATAGTCACTCGATCTGTGGGGGTGGGGGTGGGGGTTGTGTGTGAGTTTTTTAAATAGGGAAAGAGTTGTGAGGTTTTTAATCTTCTGAAAACCGCCATGAGCAGGGGACACAATGTTATTTTAGAAATAGGTGCCGTGTTTAGAGATATTTTCTGTTGTTTTCTCTTAGTTTATTAGAGCCTGCTTTCTCCTCTTTGCAGATCCGGAGCTCTGTTACTCAGCTGCTGTTTGCAGGGAAGGACTTCTCTTGGTGGCGCCATAGCTTCATCACTGTGTGTGTCCTGGCCTTCACAAACTTGCTCGTCATCTTTGTGCCGACTATTAGGGACATCTTTGGTTTCATTGGTAAGTCTAAGGGTGGTGCCGAAGATGATTGCTCTGTTTTCTGGTAGAAGTTTACAAGGCATATTAGGTTTCTACATGCACTTCACCCAGATCATTCAGTTTAACATTTGGCCACATTTTTCACATTAGGCTATGTTTTTCACAGCTTCTCAGCAGTCTCTGTTCTGTTTCCAGTACTCTAGTTTCCTTCTCATCTTGGCTTTGGCGTAATTATGACCTTTTGCTTTCATGCTGATTACTTTAGGATAATGCCCTTTTGTATGCCATTTTGCTAAAAGGTGATTTTGGAGACTAGATAAGTTCTAGGTTTAATTAGTGCCTTGGGACTATAGTTTCAGGGAGTCCTCTTTATTCTCATTTGTGTGGCCTTTAGCAAGAATTTGAGGTCTCCACATTTTACCCAGGACCATCTACTGTGACCCTGCGTAGAATGACCAGTTGTGGTAGCCAGACCACCATCTAATTCTAAATCATAAATTCATAAATCTAAATCATAAATTCATCTAAATCAGAGTAGATGAATTTGTGGCTTGTGTAGATTTGTTGATTGCTTCTGAACTTCTGGTTACCTTCTTGTGGTCTTGCCTTCTGGCAAGTAGAGACCTGGCTTGTGTCTTAGATGACCACCTTAAAGCTTTAGGACCCTACATGCTACTCATTTAACTAGGATGTCAGTTACGATTTTGTGAACTAGGATAAGTGAGTGGGCAGACTGAACTTTGTCCTGTGAGACTGGTCCTAAGTTTTCTAATGCCCAAAGCACAATTTTGGAAGGAATTAGGTTATGTCTGAAGAATATCCTTATTTGTCTCAATTTATGTGCCTGCACCTTCATATTTATATCTATAGATAATGCTATCTGCTCTTACCTATGTACACATCCGTACCTGTCTGTATACCAATATGCCTGTATTCGCCCACTTGTGTTGACACTTGTTTTTGCTTGGGATGCACTGCGCTCACTCACTACATTCACATTTGGTGCCACTTTTCCCATCACCAAAAATAGCAGGGATTTTTAAGGCTTAATAAATGGCAGGTGGTTCATCGAACTCTTTTCTTTTAAACAGGTGCATCTGCAGCTGCTATGTTGATTTTCATTCTTCCATCTGCTTTCTATATCAAGTTAGTGAAAAAAGAATCTATGAAATCTATACAAAAGATTGGGGTGAGTAAACGATTCCTCCACTAAATTTAATGTCCGCCTTTTAGCCCTCATTTGCTATAGTTTACTTTTTAAGTGTTTAGTAAAGCAGTCTATAATGGTGCACTTCACAGATGGAAGATTGTGTCCCCTACTAGGTTATCAGTTAGCTTAGAGAGAGGAATCCAGGTAAAGAGGATTGTAACATGATTCCCTTATTTCTCTTTCTTTTTTTTTGATGCCTCATTTCTGAACATGTTAATCCAGCATTTGTTGCCTGTTTTCGGCACTTTACTGGGCTTATAACCTGGTGGGTGGGGAGATGAAATTCGAGTTTAGTTCTGTAAGACTGACTGCCTTCATCTCTGTACAAGAGCAAAGCTAGGGAGGAAGGGGCTGCTTCTCTCAGTAGTGTTTATGATGACACGCACTTACTCTAAACTGATGTCAAAGATCATGATTTGGCAACCACAAATATAGTATGGTTCTAGAACTAGAATCCCCCCAAATAGCTGGTTTTTCACTGCCACTTTCATCTGCTTAAATTATCAGAATTGTTTATGAACCAATAACTCTGATCAAGATTATGTGATGGCAATAATTGAAGGGTATGGTTAGTTGTAAAGTTACTCATGTCTCTTCAGAAGATCTGGGTTTGGCTTGGGCTACATTTTTTAATTGGTTTGCCATTCCTAGTGGTTTCAGTATTCGGCTTCCAACCATAAGGTCAGCAGTTCAAATACACTATCCTCGAGAGGAAAGATGGACTGCCTGCTTCCATAATGCTTTCCCATCTTGAAAACCGTATGGGTTACATCTGTGCTGTTTTGACTTAATTTTTGCTTTAAAAAATAAATCCAGTCCAGTGCTATTTAAAGCACATCTACGTACCTCAAGATACATTACCTTGCCATTTGATTTAAAAAGCATTTTGTGCTTATAGAGATAGCTCCTTGATCACCTAAAACCAATTAAATATCTTGAATAAAGTAAAACTAAGCCTATCAAAGAATGGAGGTGTGGTTTTAGTAAATTACTTTCAGACCTGAAAGGCATGGTGTCGCTTGCTTGCTAACCAGTTTCCTTTGTGTTTGGGTGCAGGCTTTGTTCTTCCTGCTGAGCGGCATAGTGGTGATGACTGGAAGCATGGCCTTGATCGTTTTGGATTGGGTACACAGCACCCCTGGAGGTGGCCATTAACTGGCACCACTCAGACTCTAGTAGTCCATTGATGCCAGTGTTGTCTCAACACTCAACTAACTGAAATTTCACCCAGTTTTTCAGTTTCACTTCCTTTTGAAGTGCAGATTCCTCGCTGGTTCTTCTGAGTACAGAATAAGTGAACTCTCTCAAGAACTCTTCTGTCTGGTGGAAATGGACATCAACAGCAAAACCACGAGTCTCGGTGAAGGGAAGTGACACTTTTATTCCATTCCAGAGAATGGATGAACTCTTTAACTTTTATCAAGCCACATGTTTGGCTGTGTTGTTGTTTAACTTGGATATTTTATGATTTTACTTGAATGTGCCTAATGGAACCATTCGATGTGAGAAACTATTCTTAATTTACAGCAAAGTATTAAAATAACCATTGAAAAACACTTATTTTTTGTACCAAAAATACTTGTAGACCTCAAAAGCACTATTTTACTTTTTTTTTTAATTGCTTCTTTTTTTAAAAAAAGAAATTTTATCCAGTTGTCAATAAATTCCGTAAAGCAGATTTTCCCCCCACTGGTATTTTAAAAAACAAGTATTATGAAGTGATTAATTTGCCTTTTTGTAGGCATGATAAGCCAAATACTTTTTTATCCAAGATAATTTTTAGAGAAAAGTGATGTAATGAAAAATTACACTATTAAATATAAACATAGTTCTCTCCATTCGAAACTTTGTTACTTTAAAGGATACATAACAGATTGTTGCTTTACCAAATCAAGTGAACTTTGTTCACCACTTGTCCCCCAAGTAATCTGATTCTTAGAGACTAAAGAGATGTTTTTGGCTTCGATTTATTAGCATAGAAGACAATGCAGACGTTTCTGTGGGGAATAAATTCAAACTAATTTTGAGGTACCAAATCATGCAATTGGGTAAAACAGGGTTTATTCAGTTGCATCTGTCCTCCAGAGTTGTTAGGACAGCTCTGGGTCTCTTTTCTCTTTTTTGGGCCAGCCCTTTTTGGACATTACTTCCAGTGGTGGAAAGTGGGCATTTGGTGGCTATAGGCCAAAACTGTTTTATCCAGACAGTACAACTTTGAAAATGCTCATCGACTACTGGAAGTGTGTAATACTTGATAATGTATGGCTTAGTTGTGTTCACGTTTTATGTGCAGCAGAGGTCTAATCCACAGGTTACTCTGGTATTTGGTATAATGCGAGTTCTCTTTGTATAGGCCACTGGGTTTCTCATGCAGTAAGCTTTTTAAAAACAAAACTCATATGCACTGGATGGTCATCTCATTCTTGTACAACTTCAAATTATTTGTTTACATCTAACAAATGGTCAGCTAGGGAAAACAGTGCAATCTGAGTGTGGCGTTGTTTTGATCCAACTGCATGTTCACCCTCCCATTACAATCCTGGTTAGAAGTGAAAACATTACTTTTAAACTTGGCTTTAAGAGCACATTTATTGTACGTTACAGTGTATGGTGAATATATTATTAAATAATGTGGTACTTTGCTCATCAGGCATAATGTCTAAAGTTTAATATACATAATTCCATTAGTGGTTGAGGGAAGCAAACAATGGAATCTTCAATTGGTCAGCTGGGTCTCTAAGGGTATCTCTTGAACTAAGCGGTTTTTTTGTTTTGTTTTGTTTTAGTTTTAGACTAGAGCCAGAAGTGCGGCAGACATGGTTTATGTTACACATTCTTGTATCATATGTGACAAAATTACAGACAAGATATGTCTAATTCAAAGACCCTTGTGGAACTGGAAGACGTCTTGTAGTGCTTACATTGGGTGAAACCAATGGTCCATTTATGTTTATTTCTATGGAAATAAAGTAATTGGGGACCATCTGAAAAGACAGTGAGAAAGATGGATTCCACAGCACTGCTTTCATTTATTGGGCACTTAAGTGAATTTCTGGGATGGAAGGCCAGTTTCATGTCACATCTGCCAGGGAAAGCCAAGTGGCACCAGGTGTTTTTTCCTGCACTTGACCTCCTTTCAGATGTGAGAGGAGCCTGTTCAGTGGCAATGGAGGAGGAGTGGAGGAAGACTCCTGATCAAAGCAGTAGGGAAGACCTCAGTCCTCTGGTTCGTTGAAGATGTAGGGTAAATTCCAGTGCATGACTTTCTTGACACAGTCTTGTCTGCCCGAGGTTCCTAAACAGTGAACTCCCATTAATGAGCAGTCTTCAGTATTAAAAAAAAAAAAACCACTGTCGTGTCACCTCATTTTGCATTACTGTCTTCCGTGGATGTTTCAGTTACAACTGTAATGTTATTTATAGAACAGCATTAATCCATTAAAGCTAACCTATTTTTCAATATTTATGATAATCGATGTACATACATTGTCTGTCCATATGTATTTGTAAATAGATGTGTATAATACCAGGTTTGGGGTCTTGGGTTCAATTGTATATATTCCTGTAAGTTTCTTACCTGCATTTTGATGACTTCATATTACATATCAGAATTGTCCCAAAAGTACCTGTACAGCCTTCCTTATGAACAAATTGACCATTTATGTACAAAATTCAAGGAAATGTTTAATATTTTCAGTGAAACTGGCTGAATATCAGCTTTTTCTTTCAAAACTTGGTGCAAGTTCAACCTCAGAATGCTTATTTACATTTTAAATAAGGCCTAAAATTTCAAAATGCAGTGGTTTTCAAAATGTGATCTAGTGATGCAAAGCAAATGTGATTTAGTGACATGAAAGACCTTTGAGAACCTGGGTGTGATATCTGTGTACATAATGTAAATACCCCCACCTTACTGTTAGAGGCCAACAATTCCAGTGTGGCTTGTTGGTGAGGAGTGCTACACCGTTTCAATGAAACAGTGTATGTTTTAACTGAACTAAAATAAATACATGCTTAATCCTGAGTAGCTGTGTTTCCTTGGAGGTAAAAGGACAAACGCCGAAGTTAATGCATCATAAATGTTCATGGTGATAACAAAAGCAAGCTTTGTAGAGTTCATAACAAGTTGCCACGAGGGTAGGGTTTATTTTGGTTGGTGTTACGTTTTTCTCTGAGGGCCTTCACTTCCTGGGCCTGCTGAGCACAGAGCACAGACTAGTAGTGCATCAGAATCGGGGAGGCTGCTTTAAAATGCTGGAGCCTGGGCCTTGCTCTATGATTCCATAGGTCTGGGGAGATTCCCAGGACTTACACACACACAAACCCCCACCCCCAAACCCCTGAAAGCCACACAGTGATTCTGATGCACATTTGTAATTTATGGGTAGTGGTTACAGGTTGGGCTGCAAACTGCAAGGCAAGCAGTTCAAAACTACTAGCTGTGCCACAGGAGAAAGGTGAGACTTAGATTAAAAAGCAAGAGTTAATCTCAAACCCACAGGGGCAGTGTTATTGGTGTCCACTCGTGATGGCAAGTGAGTTTAGTTTTGATATAGACCTGGGGAGATAATCTGATTCAGATTTAGAAGATACAAAAGCCTCCGGGAAGAAGAAAAGCGGTTTAATTTGAAGGAACTGTCGGACAAGCTGTGCACTAGTTAGGGGGAGGGTCACCAAGATATACGGGATAGCTCGTAGATGACTTTTGGCAGTCTTAAAGCTGAAACAAAAGACTGCAGGTGTGCTTAGGACTGGTTTCAAAGGTTAAAGAACTTGGAAGCAGACCATGACCAGTTGCTGTTCAACTGTGGCCAATTACAAAGCAAAAAACCACCGCTGTGGAGTTCATTCAGCTCTGGCAATTCCGGGTCAGTGCGGTTGCTGAGGCGATGAGCAGACAGCCTCATCTGAGCAGCTGGTGGCTTTGAACTACCAACCTTGGATTTAGCAACCCAGTGTTTAGCTCACTGCCACTATGGCTCCCCTTATGATCGAATGGGGAATATTTGTGAGAAGGTACAGCAGAATTTACATGAAATCAGAGTAGAAGAGCAAAGGATAGTTATGAAGATGTGAGTTACTCATTTAAGAGTTCATTGAACACTATATTATGGGTATAGTAATCATTGCTAGCTAAGCTATCCCTTGGTGCTATCGCCTCAGCTTTGAAGATAAGGGATTCTGTCTGGACGGCCTTCCTTCTCAGCCAGTTGGACTGGTTACTCTTACAGGCTCATTCCCGGTTTCCCACTACTCATCCTCTAAAGGGTCCTGGTGGCCCAATCACTGTAAGCAGTGACAAGTTGGTCGTTTGAAGTCACTTCATCTCTGGGATAAAGGCAGTCCAGCTTCGGAAATCCTGAAGAGCAGTTCTATTCTGACCCACAGCAGTGAGTTTGGTTTGGGGTTTTCAGGCCTCCCCAAATCTGCACTTTGAGTTAGAATAAGAATTGTTCTGAAATTTCAAGTCACCACCCTCATGATACTATGATACCAATAAACTAAACCACACTCATTGCTATTGAGTTGATTCTGGTTCATGGCGACCCTGTAAGAGTATAGAACTGCCCCCGTGGGTTCCTGAGACTTAGCTCTACAGAAATAGAAAACCTCATTTTCCTCCTGGGGACCGACTGGTGGATTCAAACTGCTGACCTTGGGGCTAGCCGCCCAAAACGTAATCCACTATTACATCAGGGATCCCTGTATGTTCTAATAGGCACAATTTATGGAATACCTACTTCATGCTAGGTAAAGAGATCACTTACCCAATCTATAATCCTTTAAGATAGCTATTGCCTCATCTGTAGAGGTAGAAGACTCACATGTTAATAGAGGGAGGCCATATGTGTCAGGGTTCAAATAAAATTATACATGTTCAATGATGCCTTTTTCCCCTCTTACTAATGCCAAAATAAACCAGAATGTCAATTTATATACCTAACCCTTTACATCTATTTGGTAGCTAGATCAAATCAGGAGCATGAAAAAATGGAACTATCATCAGGGAGCTATTCTCAAGCGATATTTCCATGAAACCTGAGGAAGATTCTAGGCATGATTCTAAGTATAAAGAGCCAGGGCTATTTGCTTTGACTCTGCACCAACACTCTAGGAGAGTTGGCTCGTTTCTGGTAATATTGTGAAGAAAATCTGTTTATAAATGCTCTATGATCTTTTCCCTCACAACAACACATTAAAAGAAATTGTGATAGCCGCTCTTATAAAAAGGTTGCAGGGAGTGGTTGGCAAACAAATGTAGCAGGCCCATGTAATTTGCGTAAAAATGTGGTAAATTAGCTTAAGCAAAAATGGTGGCAGAAGAGAAAATGTCTGAGGAGATTGATGGACGTACCTAAGAGAATGAAGCGAAAGGTAGGCAGACTTCCAAAAAGTTAAACCTAGCTTTGCTCCAGAGATGTCAATGACTTTGCAATTCATTAGAGTCTGAGCATTCGGTTCAGTTCCTTAAGGTCAAACATTCCTGATTCATTCATAGAGGTGGGTGGGTGACATAGTACTAACATGGATGGTTGCCATAACCCACCTGGTTGGGGGAATGGTCTCAGAGGCAAAGTGAGATGGAGAAAGGGTCACCAACCATGCCCGTTAGCACTAAGTCTTACAATCTGGAAAACCCCTCCTTTCCAAACTAGTCACTGTCGCAGACAAGACTCTCAACAAAAGTGTCTTCTACATAGCCTGTTTCCCTGTGCTGCCAAGTTGATTGTGTGTCATGGTAAGCCCTATGTGACAGACTAGCCCTGCCCACTGGGATTTCCTTGGGAGCAATTGGCCAGGTCGTTTCTCCTTCAGTGTTTGGAGGGTTCAAACCAGCAACCTTTTGGTGAGCAGGTGCTTGCTTAACAACTGCATCATCAAGGGGGCTATTAAGGCAACCTAAAAGACAAATTCACTGTCATCGAGTTGATGCTGACTCACAGTGACTATAGGACAGGTAGAACTGCCCCTGTGAGTTTTCAAGACGAACTGTTTACAAGAGTACAAAGCCCACTCTTTCTCCTACAGAGCAGCTGGTAGTTTCGAACTACAGACCTTGCAATTAGCCCAACATCTAAAGACCACAACACCAGAGCTCCTCTAAAACAAACTAGAGATGTAGATAAACAAGTTGCCACATCCAAGTTTTTTATGGCATGCCCCCAAATAAATGGACTTGCACTTCCATAAGTCACATGTTTCTGATTTCCCCACAAGAGTGAGAAGCTTCGTAAGAGCAGGCATCTATCGTTTCCCTTACAAGGCCTACCACAGAGTTTAAAAAATCATCCAGTAGATTCTGCCTCATCCAGACACTCCGGGACTGAGTAGAACTGCCCCTGTGGGTTTCCAAGACTGTGCATCTTTGCAGGCGTAGAAAGCCTCGTCTTTCTTTTTCCCGTGGAATGGCTGGTGGTTTTGAACTGCTTTAGCAGCCCAAGACATAAACTCACTACACCACCAGCGCTCACAGATGCTCGATACAATTGTTGAATAAAAACTATGCTCCTTGTTTCCCAAAGCAAAGGAGAGGTGAGGCTAAAACTTTTATACAAGAATTTGCTAGAAGCTTGGGAAATAAATATAGCGGTGACTATAATGAAAAACAAAGACAACCAAACTCATTGTCACATTTTCGATGGCAACTACTGTGGCTTAAAAAAAAAAAAAATCCAACCAAACTCACTGCCATCAAGTTTACTCATCTTGAACCAGACCTGTGACAGAAAAGCTTTCTTGCCTTGTCCGTGACTTGCCTGCAGGTGGCAGAAGCCATCTGAAACCTTTACCACATACGTGAAGGTGTAGGAGTGAGATCTCTATTCAAATCTTACCTAGATGGGCCACACGCACATTGTTTGGCTTGTGACCGTGGTTGCAGCCACATTGTCCATCCATCTCATTGAGGGCCTTCCTCTTTTTTTTGCTGGCCCTCTACTTTCCCAAGCATCACGCCCCCTCCACAGGCTTGGTCACTCTTAATTGCACCACCCAAGGACCTGAGATAAAGTGGCACTTCAAATGAGCATTCTTTTTTTTTTTTTTT